CTCGTGGCTTTGTTTACAAGTTATAGTTCGTTTGCAAAAAAGCACAATGTGAATGCAAACCGCACCAAACAAAAAAAAAAAAATGTCCGTTTTTGGTCCGGACCAAACAATTGGACCAAAGGACTTTAACGGGCATTTATACTTAAGTCTGAGAGTAGGAGCAAATCTAAGAATTTTTTGACACTTAAGTCTAAAATCCCACTCTAAAAGTTTGATAAATATGGGCCCAGAATGTGTTTTGAAGACTCGGCTACTACCACACCAAATTATACCTGAACATCTGTAATGTCAACTGAATTATAGACAGTTTTGGTTTTTAAGACCAGTTGGCTGTGGCACTAAACTTGAATTGGGTTCTTCAAAAGTTAATCAGTTGTAGATGTTTATTTATTAATGATTACTTTCTCTGAGTCTCATAAGATATTTTGCTAACAGACTAACACAGGCTATAAATACTGTTATAGATCTTTGCCTTTTGGCATCAGGTGGTAAACAGGAGTGCTGACTGTTCATTTCATTTAGCCCCCCTTTATGTAGCTTTGAGTATGCAGAGACCGAGACGCAGAGTTTAGGCATCTCATTTTATCAGATCATTGTGTAGTACAGGACGACTGGGGTTCACAAACACACACACAGGTAGACCGTAGCAAAGACGAGGCACAGCACTGTCACAGGTAATTCTTTTTCCAGTGTTTGACAGGGTACCAGCAATTAACTGATAGCAGGACTCCTTATCTTTAGTGAGGAGGGCAAGTTTGTGCTTGTAGTCCAGCCAAGTCCTCCGACACAGATCCTCAGACTGCCTGGAGCCTGCAGAAGCCGCGGGCCAATAGCTGTTCAACTAGCTGTGTGATTTAAAGCTTCACTGCTACTAATCATTTTTGTTTGCATAACTTTCAAAGCTGTAACATAAACTATATGAGCTAAACGCAAAAATCACCTCTTTAGAAAAAAAATGCAGCACATTCTCACTTAAAGCATTTAATTGGCATTTTACTTTTGAATAATAGAAATGAAGCCTCAAGGCACAATAATATGGCATATTTGTCTCTCAAATGTGCTGCAAGCCATCATCTTAAAAGGATCATCTGGTCGTTGTTTTTTTTTTTTTACTGACATTTTGTCAAATAGTTATTAATATTTTGTCAGACGATGTGGAGAAAAAGGCAAAAATTTTCATTGAGGCTACACTAAAGGTTAGCCAACAAGTGCCTGTATTTTTGTGGTATTTGAGGCTGTAAAACAAAGTTTTCTCAAACATAACACAGTGWTAAATAATACCACTATAGCTAATATCAAACATGTACACTTTTACATGACACCATTTTAGATTGTCCCTGTTTTTATCAACTCAACAATGCAYGTTACTATTTTTAATGTAAAATAAAGTGAAAGATTTCAGAAAGATTTCAAAACACAACAAACAAAAGTTAAAATACATTGCTATAACTACGTGAATAAATGTGTGTTTTGGTATCTATTATTTTTAATGAATTTCTTTTATTTGTTTCTTATTGTTTATGTGCTTATTGTTGCTGCTTGTGTGTGCTTAAGGCCAAATCTGATTCTTCTTTGTGTTTTTTCGTTAATTTGTACCTTGTTGCTGCCATGCCCTCTTGTGACGCTGAGACACTAACATTTATCTTACTCCCCACTTCTTTCATCACTTATGTCTAACTCCAAATGTTTGTCTGTTGGAATAACCAAATATWAGCAGTGGAACATAAATGTGTGGTAATTGAAATATGGCCTATGATTCATTGCAGACCAAACAGGCCTTTGTGATGCTCATATTGCACTCACCAATACTATGATGAAGATAAATATTGTGATCTATTGTGCAGCCCTGCTGTGAGGCGTTAGATACACATTTGTACTGACCTCACACGTTGATCATGTACAGTGATGGATTCAGCAGCCTCAGCACCATCTGTATAAAGATGAGCTGTTTCTTAAAATGCTTTTTTGTAAAGAAAAATAATCTGTTGATCACTGTTAAGAGTTTCATTAGAATTCATTCAGTGATTGATGAGATATTTTTGCCAAGAGCTGAACTTTATGTATATACAGTATACACAATGATCAGTACGTACCACAGATTTGAAGTGACAGTTGAGTGTTTGTGGTACAGAAGGAGAAGATAAACAAAACATTATTTACTTTGTTTTTTTTTTTTCTTTATAAAACTCTGTCCTGAAAAAGGTTTACAAAAGTACTTGTAATTTGTCTCAAAAATAAATATTTTCTGAAGCAAAGTAAAGTCTTACAATCCATTGTATCCATTAACTTGAACATTTGGATAACAACTCTAAACTGAACTCTTGAATTTAGATTTCACAAAATAAATGTTTATGGTCTGGAATAAAACAAAGCCATCTGATGCCTTTTAACCTTTTTAAGACAGATGTAAATTCAGTAGTGTTGACATAAGCTTTCATTGGATCCACCTGTTTTTGTCCRCCATCACTTTAGTTAACTAAGAATGTCCTATTATAGCAAACTTTAATGATATTGGGAGAATTTCAGGTTCTCTCTTCTAAATGTATGCTTTTTGTGTTGTTTTCTTTTTTTTGACTTCCCAAAGTGGAAAACTTCATTTCATTTGTTATACTGTATTGGTCATCTTTCAGTATGAGTTGAACTAAAAGACTACCGTCAAAACCATTTTTGTTCCAATACTTGGTAACTTTATTTGTAATTTTTTTTATGATTAACTTTTATTTATAAAAACGTAGGCACATCTGGCATTAAGCATTGCTATTAACACTGCCTAAAAATGCTWTTTGGTTTAAAAGGATAATTGAACCCTCGTTCATCAAGATTACGGCTTATTATACGGTTTATTGTTGTTTAAAAGAGCTTGTGCCAAACCTTTAACATGGTGATCTCACACGATCTGTTGGCACATGAAGTGTTGTGAATGAATGTGAGCTACTGCCTCACCAGRTTTTAGCTCAAAATCTGAAAAGTTCAATGAAGTATAGTAATGTTTGTGTCGACCAAGGTTGATTAGCTGTCTGTGGCCATCTTGAATTGAATTGACTCTAAAGATGTGCAGTCAATGATTACTTTCTAAGAGTTCGATTAAAAATTTTCCAGTGAATATTTTGCTGACATGCAAATAAGGTTGATTCCAAAYGGTAAAGTTATGATTTTAAGCAACAGTAATGCACTGTGTTGCCCTCAAAGCAAAGTAGGACCTTATTTATGAACATGCCTAAAGACTAATTTTTCAAGATGTATCTGATTCTTCACATTGACTAAAGGATAAGGATTAAGTAGCTAGTAGTTTAGTGAGAAAATAGGCAGCTATAGCGCATTGGCAGAAAAATTAATGATAATTGGGTGTTGTCAAAATATGATGAATACTTTATGTATGAAGAAATATTTTATGTGTGGGTACTTAAAGGAAATATCACAAATATATGCCTACAGATTAGCATATATACTAAATATTAATATCTGCTGCTTTCCCTGCTCGCTAGTGAATGTACTTTCATTACAGCATAAATCTGTACAATAACATTGTTATGGATAATTTCCATAACATGTTGAAGTGCAGACAGAAGCAAATATCTGTGGACAGTTTAGTACAAGTGCAGGCCTGGAGTCAGTTACGTGAACCATGCTGGTCCTGCTTGACCCAGTGTAAAACTTTCCAGTGAAGAGAGTTTCCTTCATGCCTGACTTGTCAGAATGTCGTTATTAAATCAGCGTGTTCTGTAAAATCTGTCTTTGTCCATGCTGTGCTGCGCCAGCCTCAACTCTTTAAAAAATGTGTGTGACAGAAACTCTCTTCATTTGTGATTTTTTTTATATTGTTGGTTTCATTCCGCAACGCTTTCAACAACTTAACAGGTAGAAATAAAACGTGTTCTAATAAAAATAAGCCATTTGAATTGGGCTATGTCTAAAGTTATTCTGCAGTAGATGTCAACCCAGTGACTACTTTTTAAAAAGTTTCATTAATATCTATTCAATGCTTCATGAGATACAATATTTTGCTAATTCTTAATATTATTATTTTACAAATAAATGGTACTTGGCATGCAATCAGTTATCACTCGCTCTGAATTTTAGACAGTTTTGAATTTGCAAAGGTTTCTTAGCTGTGACGGCTTTCTTGAATCTGGTTGTCTACAAAAACAATCCATTTTTAGATGGACATTCATTGATTGTGTGATAAGAGTTTTGTCCACTGGTTTATTATATTTCTTACTGCTAGTAAAAAAAAAGGACTAAAACATTATTGTCCTTTTGTGCTCTGCAGTGGGTGATAATTATACTATTATATTACAGTAGCTATTTATTGCCCTGGATTATTAATTGAGTGTTTTTTCCCCTTCTTTTGTGTAATCAACTGGATTTTCCTTTTTTCCTTTTGCAGCCCTGAAGAGATCCTTTGACAATGAAGATATAGATGACATGGCGTCCTTCACCTCAGCTTCCCCTGTTTCTGACCCCATTTCCCCCTCTTCCTGTCATTTTATCCTTGGCCACAGTAAAGAGTGTGAGGCTCAGGGTGGAGTCATTCAGACTCCTTCTTTTGCCTTTAACAACAACAGTATAAGGTCTGAAGCTCACCCCCACATCGGTGTGACTTCCAATCCTATCCCTGCATTTAAGTCTCGTGCTGTTGGCAGCAGCTTATCCTTCAATCGAGGAACAATGAATAGGCCAGTCATCCACAACAATGGCTCCTCTGTAACAAGAGCTGCTTCTTTCCAGTGCAAGTTGAACCCCAAAATTTGCTCCCAGTTGTCCGGACCAGGCAGTGACAATGACAGCCTACACAGCTCTACATCCAGCCTGGAGTACTCTGGCGGGGGTGGGTATCTCTTTCCCACTAACAAGTTGGTCTCATATCACAGCCCTCTACATCAGAGGGAGTACCAGGGATCCCACTTTCAGCACCCACAAGTTGTATCAAACATTAAGACGTTGTTCTCCCGTGAAAGTGGTTTTAAGTCTGAGATGAACCCAGAGCAAGGGATGGTATTGAATATTAAAGAACCTCAAGAGGTGAACCAGGGCTCCTTGTCAAATCTAGACTACCAGATTCCAATTGAAGGAGAGGGATTGCAAAGAGGTGGAAACAAGTTTTCTCCTGGAATAAAATTCATTGATGCTAACATCAACTGGAAAAGTCTTCAAAATGTCAGTTCCTTTGGGGAAGGCGGCATAAAGAAAGTTCACCAACAAGGATCCCAAGATGTAAAGACTCTCAAGCCTAGAGCTAAAGAAATACAACGCCTCAACAAGTTTCCTTTGGATCTTGACAGTTTGGTAATCTCAACATCTCCCAAAAAGGTTGAGGCAGCATCCACAAGTCCAGACACCACAAAGGTTTCTTCACACATCTTAGGTGGCCTGCAGCACATCCACAGCGCTCCATCCACAGCCAGCACTTCAGCCTCACTCAGCAGCCTAGACAGCTCCTCTGACACACCATGCCACTCTTTTAACACCACTTTTTTACCTTTGTCGCCATGTTCTCCAGTTCCTCCACACAGCTCCATCCCTGTTCCAGAAATAAGTTCCTCTGTACCACTTTCCCCATCTGACAACTTCCAGCTGAATATTTTGTCAGAATCTGAAATTGTCTATGTGGTCCCTAATCTGCACAGCCCTTCCAGCTCATCCAACAACTACAGCTCCAGACCTATTGAGTCTGTGGAAGATGGCAGACATGATGCAAGCGATACTGTGGACTTAATCTTACAGAGGATTGCCTCTTTCTCTTGGCCTGCCACAACTGACACCCAGACATCTGTAGCCCAGTCACCAACTGTCATCCAAAGCAATGGTGGGTCGTCATCTAAGTTTGGGTGTCCCATTGAAACAACTTCCACGACTGCTTGGAAACAGGGGAAAAAGAAGTATGGAGGTAAGATTGTTTTTAATTTGCTTTAAAACACTGACTTGCAAGGTTTTCTGATGATTAGCAAAAGGTATACCATGGACTTTAAAAATTGATTATTATCGGCTTGTTAGATTCTCATTACTTTCTAAAGAGCATAACAGCAGAGAAGAGTTAAAATTAGTACATAAGTTGTGTATCTTGTTTAAAGATGTGGTTTTTTGAAGTTTGTCATGTTAAAGCAAATTCTGACCTTGCTGGATAATTTCAGAACAATACGCCCAAGAAAAGAAACATGCAAGACATATAATTTTTATTACTTAACACGATAAAAAGAACACTTAAAATCCAAAAGTAAAATCCAGTGGTTGTGTGTCCTTTCAGCATTCAAAAGTCACCAGCAGGAGACACTGGTTCAGTCTCTCACCCTAAGCAAAAGAGATAAGGATCAAGTCATTTTATAATGTCTTTGAAGTTCTGAATCCTGAGGTTTTAACAGCTTTGCGAGAAAGGCGGAGCTCTGGCTAAGCTTGCCAGATTTGTAAATAAATCAACATTTTTTAGGCCCTGTTTACATGTAAACAAACTATGGAATGTTAATGTTTTTTATTTTTATTTCAGCTGAGGAAAACATACTTGTTACAGCAATGCCGAGCTCACTAAATCTGCTGTAATCTCAGTGCCAGGTCACTAGCTGGTGCTATGATTTTTGTATCTAAATAACTGCCATAAATCTCAAACATGAATGTATTCATTTAATAGCCCCTATTACAAGACATATCAACAATCATGGCACAAAGCCTGCCTGGCTAAATGCCAGTCCGTTCATTCATAAAACAAAGAATAAGCCAGCCACATCCTGCCCTCAAGTGGAGCATTCACAAATCGTTTTACATAGCGGGAAGTTCGGAGGCATGGAAAAAAACCCAACTGCGATTACGCATTGCTTACGTATTTCACATGGGACCGCTGATGTGAATGTAAACAGTAGTAAACATGGCGACGCTAGCCGCTACCCTGGTGGTTCTGCGAATGCTTTTGCTATATAAATAGGACGATGCACACAGAGCAGATAATTAATTCACCAGATAATTTAGAGGTGCTCTGTCGGACTTTTTTTTTCCAGACCGGGACCAGACTGTGTGCCTGACGGGTGAAATAAAGATAAAATAAATTAAATTGTTAAAATGGCTTTGCTTTATTTACTAAAGAGCAAAAGCAAATGTTGCGCACAGAGCAGATAATTAATTCACCAGATAATTTAGAGATGCTCTGCTGGACTTTTTTTTTCAGACTGGGACCAGATTGTTAGACGGGTGAAATAAAGATAAAATAAATAAAATGGCTAAAATGTCTTTGCTTTATTTACTAAAGAGCAAACAAACTTTGCGCACAGCAGATAATTAATTCACCAGATAATTTAGAAAAGGCTTCGCCACTCCAGCAGCGCACACGTAAGAAGTCAGGTGCAGTTTGGCTTTGTTTACAACTTTAAATACAGCGGTACAGTGGACGCGGGAGAGCACGTCATCATTCATCCCATTATTCAAATCAGCTGGAGCCGCAAACACACCCACCTCTGTTCAGAAGTGGGCAGAGGCGGGCCTGTTACTATCAAGCTTCGCGGCTCAGGGGCGGGAAGATCTGTTTCGCCTTTCCGCAAACGTATATTTTTTTTTCTGAATGCTCTAAGGAGGTCAGATCGCACATTAGGCCCGGAACGACGCATTTTGTGAATGAGGCTATTCATTTAGCTTTATTTAACCAGAGAAATCGCATTGAGCTCACAGATCTGTTTTGCAAGGGAGGCCTAGGCCTGAAGGCAACCTATCATGCATGTTTTTGATCTGTGAGAGGAAATTGGAGTACCAGGAGAAAACCCACAAAAGCATGAGTAGAGCATGCAAACTCCACAAAGAAAGACCACTGGTCTGAACCGTGGCTCAAATCCAGGACTTATTTGCTGTGAGGAACTACAAAGCTATCATTCTGCCCAAATGAAAACCGTCACATTCAAAATGGTGAAATAATTGTTTGGACTGAAAATGAAATTGAGTTGCTCCTACGTGTTAAAATGTATGAATAACACAAACAAACTCACTCTGCTCTCCACCATTGTTACTTTTGTTCATCTATTCAAACAAAGGCAGACAAACTACTGACTGCAGCCGGCCGAATGTGATTTCACACAGATGCCAGGCCATTTACAAAACCCTCCACTTTGTGACCTTGATAGAAAAAGGTTTGGTGTCAGAGAAAACAACACCTGTTATGTACATAAACAACCAAAAAACAGCAGTAATGCTACAATTTTACTCCAGTCTGTGAAAGTGTTGCAGCTGAAAAGGGAAGAGAAAAGAGGGTGAAGATCCATTATGTTAGCATGACACTATAGACTTGTGGGCTAAATAAAAATGTATATCACATATTTCAAATATTTGTTTTAAATTATTCGTAAAACACTTTGAAAACCATTCATCATGTTTTCCACTTCAGAATCCTGCACTACTTTGTGTTGATCTATTACAAACAGTTAGGTCCATATATATTTGGACACTGACACAGATTTTGTCTTTTTACCTGTTTACTGAAACATATTCAAGTTATAGTTCTATAATGTACATGGACATAAAGTCCAGACATTCAGCTTTCATTTGAGGGTATCCACATTAAAATTGGAGAAGGGTTTAGGAGTTTCAGCTCCTTAACGTGTGCCACCCTGTTTTTAAAGGGAACAAAAGTAATTGGACAATTGACTCCAAGGCTATTTCATGGACAGTGTGGGCAATCCCTTCGTTATGACATTCTCAATGAAACAGATAAAAGGCCTGGAGTTGATTTGAGGTGTGCTGCTTGCATTTGGAAGGTTTTGCTGTGAAGTAAACATGTGGTCAAAGGAGCTCTCCATGCAGGTGAAACAAGCCATCCTTAATCTGCAAAAACAGAAAAAAACCATCTGAGAAATTGCTACAATATTAGGAGTGGCAAAATCTACAGTTTGGTACATCCTGAGAAAGAAAGAAAGCACTGGTGAACTCATCAATTCAAAAAGACCTGGGCACCCACAGAAGACAACAGTGGTCGATGATGGCAGAATAATCTCCACGGTGAAGAGAAACGCCTTCACAACAGCCAACCAAGTGAACAACACTCTCCAGGAGGTAGAAGTATCAATATCCAAATCTACCATAAAGAGAAGACTGCATGAAAGTAAATACAGAGGGTTCACTGCACGCTGCAAGACACTCATAAGCATCAAGAATAAAAAGGCTAGACTGGACTTTGCTAAAAAACATCTAAAAAAGCCAGCAGAGTTCTGGAAGAACATTCTTTGGACAGATGAACCAAGATCAACCTCTACCAGAATGATGGAAAGAGAAAAGTATGGTGAAGGCGTGGTACAGCTCATGATCCAAAGCACCACATCATCTGTAAAACACAGCAGAGCAATGTGATGGCTTGGGCATGCATGGCTGCCAGTGACACTGGGTCAGTAGTAGGGATGGGTACCGAATTTGATACTTTTTTATGTACAGACCGAATTCTGTCGGTGCTACCGAGAACCAATTCACGTAACATCAAACGGTACGATGTTTCGGTACCTAAACGCATCATTGCGATTGGTTTGGCATAAGAGTGGTGAGTTTTACATGCTTGTCCTGAATGCAGCATCGCGCAAGAGCGTTATGACGTCAGCAGCTGCTTGTTCAGTAAACAGTTCAGTCTGAACGTAGCATGAAAGCCTCGCACGCTCCTGGAGTAAGACTCGCCGAACAGACCGCTTCTGAATTATCTGGTGGATTAATTATCTTGTGAACATGACGTTTGCTTGCTCAAAGTAAATAAAGTACAGTTACTTTTTTTATTTCATCCACCATTAAACAGAGACCGACAGAGGAAAACAACAGAGGTGCTTCCTGACAGTCCGAACACATCTGAGCTGAAAGAGCACAAGCAGCCAACTTGAAGTGTTGGAGTGTTTTGGGTGCTCAAAACGTAGCTTGAATACCTTTTATTTATTTTTAATTCCATCCTCTTTTGCTTATTTGATTTAAACTTATTTGCCTTCCATGGACCTCCATCACACAATTTTTCTAACGGGGAAATGACATCAATAGAAACACGTGGAGCTGGATTTTACTTTGTGCAATAAGACAAAACAGTCTTGTTGTTTAAGAGTTTGCACTTTAAAGAAATAAGTTACACAACCGATGTTACAATACAAAGAGTTGGATGTTGTCTTGATATTTGTTCAGTTTATATATTGAGAAATATGTTAAATTAAAAAAAAGTTTATTATTGAAAATACAACACATAAAGTACCGAAAATTGGTACCGGTACTGATTCCCAGGTACCGGATATTGATACCGAATCGATTCAAACGTCAAAGGTACCCATCCCTACTCACAACAGTGTTTATTGATGATGTGACACAGGACAGAAGCAGCCCAATGAATTCTGAAGCATTCAGAGCCAAACTGTGTGCTCAGATCCAGACAAATGCAGCCAAACTGATTGGTCGTCGTTTCATACTACAGATGGACAATGACCCAAAAACATAAAGCCAAAGCAACCCAGGAGTTTATTAAAGCAAAGAAACTGAATAATCTTGAATGGCCAAGTCAGTCACCTGATCTCAACCCAGCTGAGCATTTCACTTGTTAAAGACTAAACTTCAGACAGAAAGGCCCACAAACAAACAGAAACTGAAAACCGCTGCAGTGAAGACCTGGCAGAGCATTAAAAAGGAGGAAACACAGCGTCTGGTGACGTCCATGAGTTCAAGACTTCAGCCAGTCATTGCCAACAAAGGCTTTTCAACCAAGTACTAGAAATTAACATTTTATTTACAATTATTTAATCTGTCCAATTACTTTTGAGCCTCTGAAATGAAGGGATTGTGTTTAAAAGATGCTTTAGTTCCTCATATTTTTATGTAATCATTTTGTTCAACCCACTGAATTAAAGCTGAATTAAAGCTGAAAGTCTGAACTTGAACTGCATCTGAAGTGTTTTGTTTAAAATT